AACAGCAGAGTCCTGGCCTGTAGATGAGTGTAAACTGCAGAGTCCTGGCCTGTAGATGAGTGTAAACTGCAGAGTCCTGGCCTGTAGATGTGGATTTTCTGTGTTGGCTCATTCTTTTGAACGGTGGCTGTTTTGTTTCCCTGATGTATGACTGATCACAGTCCTCCTGGATCTTAACAGCATACACAATATTACTCTGTTTGTGCTGGGGGAACTGGATATTTGGGGTGAACCAATCTTTGCCGTAATGTGTTTGGTGTTTGAAAGCCATTGGGACGWCATGTTTAAWAAATAAACGTCTCAGTTTACATATGGAATGACCACTGGTGAGGGTCTGGGTTTGGGGTCTTCATTTTGTTGGTTTGCGATACACAGTCTCCAACTGTCCTCCATCAGAAACTGAGACATCACAGTCCAGGAATGCCAACCTGCCATTTTTTTTACAACCTCTCATGTGAAATTTATATATTTATCCGCAYAGTTGATGTGATCAGTGAAATGTTGGACTTCCTGGGATTTAATTTTAACCCAGGTTTCATCAACATACCTGAACCAATGGTTCGGTGGCGTCCCTCTTACCACAGAGCAACTGTGTCAACTCCTGAAACTGCCTGGAGTCAAACAACTTCACATATGGGGGGCAATACTATAGGCAGAAACATGGTGGTGCTATGGGCTCCCCAGTTTACCCTARTGTTGCAAACCTACATGGAGGAGGTGGAAAAGAGAGCTCTGATGTCCTTTACAGGGATGCCACCGAACCATTGATTCAGATATGTTGACGACACCTGGGTTAAAATTAAATCCCAGGAAGTCCAACATTTCACTGATCACATCAACTCTGTGGATAAATGTATAAATTTCACATGAGAGGATGTAAAAAAATGGCAGGTTGGCATTCCTGGACTGTGAAGTCTCAGTTTCAGATGGAGGAGGGTTGGAAACTGAAGTGTATCAAAAACACACCCATACAGACCAGTATTTGTGTTTTGATTCCCATCGCCCACTGGAACACAAGTTAGGCATCATCAGGACTCCGTACCACAGAGCAGACAGSGTCCCCACAAACCCAGGAGCCAGGGAGAAAGAAAGATGTTCTCATCCTTGATAGAGAGGAACGTTGATTTAAGAGAAGAGTAAATAAGCCATTTTTGTGAAGAAAAAACATCCACCATTAAACAGAGGTGGAGGCCTTCGTGTCCAGTTGTCCCCCTCTTACAATGCTGTTATTACAAGTATGACTCCGCCCCCTGTGAGCAAAAGGTAATAATCAGGGCCTCAACAATAGTCAGGTGGTTGGGCACATGATCRTCTATAAACAATAGGTGATGATCAGGGCACTAACTATTGTTAAGATGATGGTCTTCTTTTGCATGTGAACAACCTGTTTGTCCACCATGTGGAGGCAGGGCTTATAAGGTTGAGTTCACCTGAAACTCCTCAGACTGAAGAAGTCTRTTGGAGGAGAGATGAAACGTTTCATTAAAGAAGAACCCATCCAGAGGACCTACTTAATTTCTTAATTTATTTTTTATCATTGCTGTGGTTTTTCTCTGCACGAGGCGGCACATAGTTTGGAAATATCTGCATCGAATTATTTCACAGCATCAAAAGGATACATTAATTTACTTGCTGTTGAGATCATATTCAGATAAACTAACCCTATCTTAAACAAACCACTTCTTGTGCAGCAGCAGCATCACGTTTTGCTGTTAAAAGACTAAATTCCTGCTCTAACATCAGCACCCAAACGCCACACTGAGCGTGTAAATAACAGAGGGAGTCTGTTAATCCCTTTAACGACCAGTTCTGGACCTACCCCTGTCATTGTGCTCATAGGTGAGAATGAGAGTCTGAGCGTGTTTCAGCGAGGCGTCTTCTCCTTGGTCTCCCAGGAAGTCTCTCAGCTCTGCGGTGGAGAGTCTGCTCCCGTTGCCCGAGTAATGCCTGAAGACGGCGTCCAGCTCTGGGCGACGCAGCAGCTCCCTGCAGAACTCCTCGATCTCGGCGTGATCCAGGCGGCCGTCGCGCGATCGGTCGCACCGCTGAGATTCAAAGGAAAAGAGCAAACGGTGAGAAAAGTAGGTGAATGTCAAACTCGGCTGTTCTGAGAAAGGTTCACCTTCCCTGTGGCTAAAACATCTAAATAATAACAACTCCACACAGCTGCAAAAACACTGAATGACTTCACTGTAACTGAGCTGCAGAACACTAGCTAAGAGCTAAAAGTAACATAAAGCAAGCTAACGGCTAAAGTAACAGAATAAAATGCTGGATGAATGTTAAAAGTATTGAAAGGCTAGCTAAAAATAGCTAAAATCTGCCTAAGAGATAAAAGTAGGAAAATGGTAGCTAAAAGCAAAATTTTCCAGAACTGTAGCTAAAAGTAGCAAAAGGCTGGCTAAGAGCTGAAAGTACCAGAGAGTTAGTTAAAAACAATAAACTGTAGAGTGGTAGCTACAAGCTACATGAAGTAAAAGGCTAGCTAAAAGTAGCAGCATGGTAGCTAACACTTGGAAGTACCAAAAAGCTAATTAAAAGCTATATGCGCTTAAAACTACCTATGAGCTAAAAGTAGCATAAAAGTAGCAGAATGGTAGCTTAGTGCTAAAGGTAGCAAAGTAGAAACTAAAGGAGGTAAAGTAAGAGCTAAAAGCTAATAGTATCAGGATAGCTAAAAGCTAAAGGAAGGATAATAGAAGCTAAAAGTATCAGAGTAGAAACTAAAAACTAAAAGTAGCAGTGTAGAAGATAACAACTTTAATTAGCTGCATAGAAGCTAAAAGCTACAGTAGGCAGAGTAGGAGCTAATGCTAAAAGAAGCAGAGAAGGAGCTAAAAGCTAAAAGAGAAGAGTAAAAGCTTAAGGTAGCAGAGTAGAACTTAAAAAATAAACTGGCAAAGTAGGAGCTAAAACATTAAAAGAATAGAAGCTAAAAGCTACAACTAGCAGAATAGAAGCTAAAAGTAGCAGAGAAGAAGCTAAAAGCAGCATATGAAAACAGCAAGCAGGTTTTAAAATAACAGTTTTTATCTCCACGGTGAATATTCTTGTAAATAAAGTTTAAAAAGTTTAAACTAAAATACAGTAAAAGTATAAATGTCACAAACAAAAAGCTGTAGCATCCATTTCCTGAATGAGCTGAATGTTTTGATATATGAATGTCTAAATTAGCACAAAGTATTCAGAAGTGTTTAGACTGCAATTAACACACAACATAATATTAATTCAGACATTAAAGAGGACATCTATGAATCTGGGGACCTTCATGACTCTGACCTTGAATAAAGCACGGGAGTAGTGCTCACTCAGGTCCACGTTGATCATCTGCAGCAGCTGTTTGAACTCAGCGTAGGTCATGTTCCCGTCCTGGTTCTCATCTGCACGCCTGAGGTAGCCTCGGATCCAATTGTAAGGAGTTAAGAAACAACAACAGCTAAAAAAAAACTAATCAAACCACAAAGACATCATTTGGACACACGTGTACCGAAGTGTTGAAGCAGATCTTTGAAGTTTGGAGAAGCACTTTGATTCTGAATAAGTGATGTTTTGTCACTGATTGTTGTTTTTCCTGTCAGAAATTCCTTTTTGATTAAACTTTCTTCTGTATTTTTTCACTTGGTGCCTGTAAACACTGCAGGTCTGCGAGGAGAAGGAACAGTTCTACACCTGACACCTTCACGCCCCGGTTCCTCCGGTAAATATCGGTGAGACTTGGACTATATTTAGTCGTTACAGCTCGTCTGAGCTATGCCCGTTACGTGGAGCGACAGAGCCAGTCACCACAGCGATGCTGACACTATATTTGCTCCAGCATGCTGGAAAATGTATCACAGCAGGATATTGGTCCAGTTTTTCCTTCTGCGTCATGTTCTGCACGCGCTCCTTCAGGAAGCGGAGCCCTCGCACCCAGCGCTGGGCTTCGTCCGGACAGGTGCAGCGCAGGTCCAGGCTCTTCCTGGCCCCCTTGAAGACCACTGTGAAGCACTGGTTGTCCGGCGTGGATCCGGAGAGCTGCCTCAGCGCCTCGGACTGGCAGCCTTCACGGACGCACTCCACCTCCGTGACGGCGACTACAAGAGAGGAAACACGGAGTGGCTGGAGGTCAAATCTGGGCCGGTTTGCGGAAATGARACGGCCCGCTGAACCAAGTGACCCAAAGACTGAACAACATGAGACCTCAGTGGGATTTAAACTTACAGTTATGGTGTGGTAGTAGCTGAGCATCATCCCCAACATTTACTCCAACAGATACACTCATCTTTGATGTTAACTTTGGACTAATTCCTCAACTTGTTTTATTTTAATTTTTTACCTCATGTTCTGTTTGTATCTAATTCCTTGCTACTTTTAGCTAGCATTTTGCTCATTTTAGCTATTTTGCTGCTTTTTTACCATTTAGTTATTATTATGTCCTCTCTGGTGGTTTGCTCCTTTAAGCTAATTTGTTGCTTCTTTTAGTTTAGTTAGCATTTTGCTTTTCTAGCTTTGCTCATTTTAGCATTTATCTAAAAAAATGGTCTTTCTAGCTAGTTTGTTGCTTTATTTATCTTTAAGGGCTTAGGTAATTTGCTGCTTCTTTTAGCATTTAGTTAGCATAGTGGTTTGCACCTTTTAGGATTTAGCGAGCAGTTTGCTCGTTTTAGCTAATGCACTGCTTCTTTTTGGCTCTAACAACTTAGCTCTTTTATAATTAGTTAGTGTTATGCTCTTCTGGCGGCTTGTGTCTTTTAGCATTTAGCTAGCGGTTTGCTCCTTTTAGCTAGGTTTCTGCTTCTTTTAGCATTTGCTAGCATTTGTCATTTAGAACTTAGTGTTAACACTGCATTTCTTCATAAAACAGCTTCTGTAGTTTAATTTTGGATGTGAACTCTTCTGTTTCGGCTCTGAGAAGCTAACAGTGTAGCGACCGCTAAGACGCCCGTCCAACAAAAGCTTCATTCTGAAGCCACGGACACCCCTGCTTCCCACCTCTTCAGAATCACTCCAAATTCTTTCTTTGTGGTTCTCCCAGAGACTTGGTGGAAYTGACATGAATGTGTGTTTCCAAGTGTGAACGGGGTGGAAAGAAAAGAAGCTTGAAGTTTTGGTGCTTTAATCAGATAAAATTAAGGAGAAATGAAGCTGAGCCAGATCTGTTTTTCAGCAGAAGTCAGACTGGGGCTGCAGATCACACAGATCGTCAWCATCACAGGGAGTGTTGCAACTTTAGTGCGTCTATTTTTGGCCTCAGCACAATCAAGACGGCCTTCACCAGCAGCTGACCAATAAATCTGACCCCCCCCCCCCCAACCTGTGATCCGTGACCAGACATGATGTTATATGAGGTTTTATTTCTTCTTAAACAATTGTTTCTTTTTAAATTAATAACTTATATAAATAACATTATTTGTGCTTTCAGGTAATCAAACACAGGGGATCTGAAACGTTTTGGGTCTGAGGACTCCTTACAAGGGCGAAAATATTCCAGGGACCCCCTCGTAAACCCCACGTTGTTTTAAAAAGTAATTTACAAGATAATTTACTGTCATTTCAACCCCTAAATGCCTTGGGAACATATTTTTTATTTACGTTATTGTTTGCATTATTAGTTCTCCATGCATTTTTAAAAATAAAAACCAAATTAACAATTCAGTGAAAAATTTTAAGGACCCCCAAGATACCTCTTGCAGACCACAGTTTGAGAACCTCTGATCTAACAAATACCTCCAGCCAACTGTTTTTAATGACTTCCTCTTCCTGTTTGTCCAAATTACATCCTTTGTTATGGATTCATTTGCCAATATCTGGCCCCCGCCCACCCAAACACAGGTTTCAGTCAAACTCACACGTCTGTTTTGATTTGGCTTTTTGGGAGCTCTTGGTCGACTCGCACCACACGGTGAGTCCGTCTTCCAGCAGCCGCAGACTTCGGCTCTTCTGCCACCTGGAGGAGCGAACCTTCACCATGCTGGAGCCACGCATCATGGCATGGATGTCCGCATTGTCCAGGATCCCTGAATACGACACAAGTAAACAACAAATACACAATAAACTTTTACATGAGAAAGACGGAAACTCTAACAGGACAAGGTCCATATCTGGAAAGCGTATTTCCATATGTGGGGACACTCTCTGACATCCAGATGGGAGGTGCTGCAGCAACCGTAGCACCCCTGCAAATTTTACCAACTTTCATAACATTGTTTCCAGTATTTTGTAGGAGTGTTGTTTTGAAAATGACTCACTGTGAGACTCATCTGCAGTAAAACGTTTAAAACTCATGACTAGGTTCATCACTTCTCTGCTTACACCATAAACCTGACATCATGTTTTATATACAAACCTTATAATGACAAGACCTGTGTGTGTTTGTGAGCGTGTGGGTGTGTGTGTGAAGGAGAGCTTTGAAGAGACTTTTACAATAGCAAACTTTCAGCTTAAAGGGCCAATATTATGTGTTTCTCAGGCTTACATTTAAATACTATACCATAATAATGTATCTATGTCACCTTTAGTTATGAAATGCTGTTTTTATGTTTAAATAGAAAATAAACTTATTTTCTCATCCCTTCCTCTTCTAAACGCCTTGAAATTGGCCTCTGTCTCTTTAAGAACCTCCTTCTGCTTCTGTCTGCCCATTTCGGTAGGGGGGGGGGGGCTATGATACAGTTTACTTGACATCTGATAATACATTTCCTCTGAGGTATTTTTAATCTGAAAAGTACAGAGCCTGTGAAGGGACACAGGAGATT